GTGTGCCTGGGTGTCCTGGGCACCGCCTCTGACATGCTTATCGTGGGCTCTCACTCTGACCGGTGCCTGCCGGGCAGGCGTTCTTCCCGCCTCTCACCTACTGACCGTCAGGGCGTTGGGCCGACCGTAGCCTGCTCCTGTCCACGCGAGTAGTGAGGGCCTGGCTTGTGGGGGCTGCGGGCAGAGCCTCGTGTGGGGACAGCTGTCCCTCGTGGCGGACAGCCCCTGCTGCGCTCACACGCCTCTCGGGGAGGATCATCCCCGTCCCGAGTGACTTCCTGAGAAGTGAGTATGAGAAAAGGAGGCTGTGTCCCCCCAGGGGCGAGGTCTGCAGGCTGGGAGTGCGAGGGGTGAGAGGGCCTGCTGCAGCGACACGTGGTCGCTCAGCGTGCGCGGGCCGGCGTGGGGTGGGCTTGGAGCTGCTTTTCCTGTGTTTTCTGCACGCGCATTCCTGTGTGAGGCCCACGCCTAGAAATCACGTTAAAGCAGACTCGTAGAAAGGGCATATTTTTCCGGAAGAGCAGTGACCAAGGATTCGCCATCAGGTGATGCTTTTTTTCCACGTGAGCATAACGTAGTACAAATCATTGTGCGGCTTAGTGCAAGTTTGTTCAAGTTATTAGAAAACAGAATGTGTGCCACACACACGGGTCCTGAACAGAGTCTGGGGCTCCAGGAAGACAGCAAGACTCGCTCACCTTAGAGCCCGAGCTAACTATCGTCCTGGGAAACAGACAGTTGTACAGAGAACCTTGAACTTCAGTGGGCTTTCAGAACTTTTTCTTGGATTTAGAACTGTGTTCAAAACCAGTTTTAACTTCGTGCTGTTGGTTACTTTTTGGCCCTGTCAGAAGCAGAGTGAGGGCGGTTTCGGGTCCTCTCCTGCTTCGCCAGCAGGTCACGGACGGGCCGCCAGCGGTGACAGAGCTCCCTGCGGGGCCGTGCTGCCCTGAGGGTCTCGTTTTTGTGTTTTGCGATCCTGGGGGAAGCGCTGCTTTTGTTGCTGTTGTCAGAATGTATGTTCCCTCCAAAGACTGAAACCAATGTTCCAGCCTTGGCTGTGCCTGTGCCTTGGGTCTGGTGTTGTCCGTTTTCAGAATTGACTGCACATTGCGCTCTTTCTCCCGTGTTGAGGCTGTGAAGCCGGGAGATGGTGAGGACAGGACGAGGGCAGTATCTCAGATTTTTTTAACTCAGCAGATGTTTTAACGTGAAATGAGTGGTGGTTTTAGGTGGGTGATGTGTGTTATGTGTTTGTGAAGAGGAGTCAAGTAGATTTTGATTTTCCTGATAAGAAACTGAGTGGAGGTGGTGGCCAGGGAGCCGGCCTCGGGGCCCCAGGCGACCGCCGTTGGGAGATGCGAAAAGCCCTTCCTCTCTCAGACAGGCCCATCCAGCCCCGGGGGTCGGAGACGGTCTTCGGCAGCAGCTGGGCTCGCGGCTCGCGTGGACTTTAAGCACGAACCAGCCTTCTTTACAAACCGCTACCTCCAAAGGTGTCCCCGGCGCGGCTTCGCGCGGTGTGACGAGGCCAAGGCGAGACGGGGACGCGGGCGGTGAGTAAGGACGCGCCTCAGTGCGGCTTTTCTCTGGGAGTTTGGAGTCCACGCTTCCCTTAGTCTAAAGCTCCGACCAGGGATCACTGCTTGCTGCCTGCGGGTGGGTTCTGCTGTCGTGGCGGTCTCTGAGTCCTCAGTGCTGTCTGCGAGGCCTCGGCGGGGCTGGCCCTCTCCCTTCCCTCCCCGCTCACACCCCGTGCTTGTGTTCAGCCTTTCTGCCTGGGAAGGCGTCTCCGGGTGTGTCAGGATTACCCCCCCACAGCCCTGGAGGCCTCGCAGACCACAAAGGAGGCTGCTCTGCCTTGTTCACTGTGCCGGTAACCGGCTCTGCCCTGGCACCGTGAAGGAATGCATTGGAGAGTTATCTGAGAGCTAAACAGAGACTCTGAAAGAAAGCCGGAGTTTGTTTTGTGAGAACGCTGTGAACAGCAGTGTTTGGAATATGTGTGTCCTGAAGATGGAGGCATGGACTCTGCTGCTGGCTCCTAGTCTGCTGACCCTGAGATTCCCCAGCTGCCCTTTGTCCTCGTTCAGACTTGTGAGGACGTGGCAGAGCGCAGAGCCCCCCATGCACCTGCCGGTCGCGGGATCCCGGGCCCTGTGGCTCCAGAGCTGGTTTCCAGATGGGTCGGGCACTGCTCTGCTCCTCCCTCTCTCACCAATGCCTCCAACCCGTGTACAAAACTGACAGAGGGACCTAGAACACACTTGATTAACCCAAAAGGATAGGAGAGGGAGTGCAGAGGAGAAGAGGTCAGTGGGATAATAGAAAACATAGCACAGCAAGGTGAATTTAAACCCAGACATACTGGTCATTATTTTTACATGGGTTTAGACTCTTTCTTTAAAACAGAGTTTTAAAAATTGCTGCTTAGACAGTTATGTACCGCTTACAAGAGACGCGTGTTAGATGTGGGTGCACCAGTAGGTTGGAAGTAAATGGATGGAAACGCACATCTTGTCCCCGACCGTCAGGAGCACGGGGTGGTGTGCCTCATCACAGCGGAGGGCCGAGCTTTTCCCAGGATGAGGGGCACCTGGTGGCCACGCAGGGGTCAGTTCCTCGGGAGGAAGTCCTGCCCTGCGTGCGCGTTCACATGTGACAGGGCCTCCGCCATGGCGCAGGGAGGAGCCCACGGGACTCCAGGCAGGACGGCGGGTGTTTCTGCTTCTCTCCCCCTCGTCCCCCCGATAGATGAAAAGTAGGCAGAACGGTCACTGGTCAGGTTCGATGTGATTTGATCTTCACTGAATTTTATCCCACAACTAAAGTTGAAACCTGTGTGGCCTTCTGACCGCCGCTGGGCGCAGGCATCTGACCCCCGCTGTGGGCTCTGACTTGTCTCTCCTCCTGCTGGTCCTGGGCTCTGGGCTTTGCCTCCTCGGCATTTCGTTGGGCGGAACCTGGTTCTGAGTTAGCTTTTGTGCCAGGGTGTGGAAATCACACGTACCGTTCTGCCGCGTCCCCTCCGTGGGGTGTGGCTGTGGGGCCGGGCTGGGCTGCAGGCTTGCTGCGCAGGGAGTGAGTTCTCCAGGCACCACGTGGAATGGTCGTCCATCCCCTTGGGGTCACTTGTGCTGCTTCTGGGCTACATTAAAGCCCCTCATGCTGCTTTGTCTTTTTAAGAGACTTTGTGAGAGGAATTACGTGACCGCCTTTTCCCTTTTAGAAAGTTCTATTTTCAGACAACTTCATAACATTTTCCACCTTAAACTCATTTAGCATTTAAATTTTGTTCTGGTTGCACGTATGTAATCTAAAGTGACTTAATCTAATCTAAGTTTATTTCCTCTTAAAATGTGTTGTCAGTAATTGCTCTCTCATACAACCGTGTTCCAGGCGCCGTGGAAGTCACCGAGGCGGCCCTGGTCAGAGACGTCCTGTATGTCTTCCAGGGCATAGATGGCAGATACGTCAAGATGAGCAGCACTGACAACTGTTACAAGGTGGAGGGGAAGGTACGGGCTCAGCCCCTCTGCGGCGCTCAGGAGTCGTTAAGACCACGGAGGAGCTGTTTACGTGTGAGGCGTGGTTAGGGTGTCGAGGGCTGGATTTACAGATGCGGGAGTACCCGTCCAGCTGCACCGTGGAATCCTGGCAGCTCCCGTGCGGTCTTGTTTGGGGCCCTTTGTCTGCAGCGCTGCCTCCTTTCCGTCTGCACTGGGGCAGCTGCCCCGTGTGCTGGTCTCTGCATCCTGTGCTGGTGAGGTCAGGCCTACCTGACGGACAGGCATCCTGGCATCTTTGCCGCTGATACAGATTCCACATGATGTGCCCCTGCTTCTGCTTCTATCTCCAAAACCCGCCCCTCCCGCAGTCCTTCTCCTTGACCCCGTGTCCTTCTGTGACTCTCAGCCGAGTCCCGAGGTGTCTGATGCTGCCCTGTCCCTGCGGCACTGCACACCCAGGCCAGTTTCACTCCTTGGCGGTGGGACCCACGCCCAACGCTCCCTGCCTGCTGCCTGGTGCTCTTTGTTCCCAGAGTCTCATTCCATTCACTGTAGTGATGGTTTATTGGTTATTTTTTAGTTTCTCGTGTCGAAGCCTAAAAATTATAAATATAAAAGTACGAGTGGTTGAAAAAATTCTAATTAAAATTGTAGTGTTTAAAATTTTAAAATTTTAACTCTCGGTATATTTGCTTTTAGGCAAACCTAAATAAATCCTTGAGAGATACGACAGTCAGACTGGCTGAGCTGGGCTGGTTACACAATAAGGTCAGGAAATACACCGACCAGAGGAGTCTAGACCGTTCGTTTGGACTTGTAGGTCAGGTATGTTCTTTATTCCTAAAACGCTTGGGGCGCCGTTCACTTCGGGAAGTGCTGAGTCTGCTTGGAACCTCGTTATGAAAGTCATTCTTAGAGGGTTCTTTTCACGCGGAGGTTTGATCATAGACTGTTCTCTGACGGTGCACTCGGGGAGACAGGAGGCGCAGGGGGTGCTGGCAGATGCCAGCGTGGCAGACTCGGGGTGGCGGGTGCTGGTGTGAGGGCAGAGGGGTGGAAACAGGTAGAACTGGGGGCAGAGGCCGCGGTGACCCCAGGGCTGCAGCCAGAGGACGGGCTTCCTTCCAGTGGACGCAGCCCCTGAGGGGGGCCACGAGGATCCCTGGGTGCAGGGCACACTCAGCTGCACCGTGGGCCTGGACGAGGGGGTGCTCCGGGGGCCACAGGCGGACCGTCTGCTGGCCTGGTCTGGAGGAGTGCCGTAGGGAGGACGTGGGCCTTCCCCCTCCGTCCCGACCCGGGGCCTGACGGAGAAGTAGGCTGGGCCCCAGCTTCTCTGAGTGGTTCAGCAGCACCGGGCAGCCGTCCTTTCCAGTGAGATCTCTCAGGTCTCAAGGGGACAGTGTCACCAAGTAACCCACGTGCCTGCCAGTCAGCGGTGTGGCTTCACCCTTCTTGGTGGCACCGTGTCATGTAGCTGACCCCCTCGGGCTCGAGAGGCCTCATGTGCAGAGCGGAGGTGACGGTGATGTGTGTTCTGGGTGCTGGAGGGGGTTTTGTGGACAGTGACACCGTCCCTGAAAAGATGCCACATTGTGTTTCTTGGAAATCACTTCAGAAGATGGAAGTGTGGGCACCTCCTGCATCCGCCCCGAGCCCCGTCACCTCGCTCGTCCCTCCTGTGCAGTCGAGGTGGGGTGCCCAGCACGTCACCCCCGGGTCTGCGGATTCCAGACCGCACAGGCCGTCCTGCAGCTCCTGCCTCTGAAGTGTTTGGGTTGCAGAGTTAGCCTGCCTCCCCTTCTCTCTCGTAGCTTTAAGGATGAGGATGTTCGTGAGACCCAGTCCACGAAGTGTCAATACAGTACAAGTAAACGTGCAGCCGGCTGGTTAGGGAACAGTGTGGAACCTGGTCTTTGTTTAAAGGGAGCAGCTCTTCTCCTTCGCGGGCTCTGTTGCGGGCTCTGTGAGGTCAGAGCTTCCCACCGTGCCCCCGGGCTTGCGACTGGAGTTTGTTCCAGGAAGGTCTTGGCACAGCTCCCTTACAGCTTCTGATCTGACACTTTTTCAGAGTTTAAGACTGGAAGGTACAAGGCAGTGTTAAACAATGTGGGTGGGAAAATGAGCGTTACAAAAGAAAGAAAACTGGGAGCTGGCATAGAGCGGCCAGTAAAAAAGACTGCTGATGACAAATGTGAAAGTTACATTTTCATGCTAAAAATCTAGAAAGGGTGTGGTCTTAAAGGGTTGCTGTCTCGAGTGGGTCCCCTTCCAGCTTTGTGAAAGCGTGCCCCGTTTTCTCATGTCCCTTCTGCAAGTGCCTGCGCCCCCGCGTGGCTAAACCCACACGTGGCGCGGGTTGGGCCTGCGAGAGGCCCGGGGCAGAAGCGGGACTCAGTCTCGCGGACACTGCGGCCAGCGCGTCGCCAGGCCGTGGCTGTGTGTGTGCCCGCGCGCGGCGCTGACCGGCCTCCTCTCTCCACAGAGCTTCTGCGCCGCGCTGCACCAGGAGCTCCGGGAGTTCTACCGGCTGCTGTCCGTCCTGCACTCGCAGGTGCCTGCCCCGCCTGACGCCATCATGGTCTCACCCGCTGCCGCGCTGCACGGAGTGTTCACGCTTCACACGTCACTTTTTAAAGATGAGAACCTGGCAGCACTGTTGGGAAGGCTTGGGAGTCTGGAGGGTGTCGCACGCTGGCCCGCTGCCCGTTTCAGGGCCCTGTCTGCCACTGAACCCGACCACGCGTGTCCTGGAGGAGCCGTCAGGCTCTCAGAGGGGCCTCTGTCTCTGCGGGTGGCCCCTCCCCATGCTCATGCCACGGGGGTTAAGGAATGATCGGCATGCCTGCTGCCCTGTGCTCACACGTCCTGCCTTCCCTGTTTTTCAGCTGCAGCTGGAGGACGATCAGGGAGTGAATTTGGGCCTTGAGAGCAGCTTAACACTCCGGCGCCTCCTGGTTTGGACGTACGACCCCAAGATAAGGCTGAAGACCCTGGCGGCCCTAGTGGACCACTGCCAAGGTCGTCTGGGTTTGTTTTGTGCCTGCTTTTCTGTGCCGCTTCCACACATTCACAGACATGAGCACACAGGGGATGACCAGGAGCGCGGCCCAGCGTGGACGCGTGTGGAGACCTGGGCCTTGCAGAGATGGAGGGAGAGAGGAGGCAGATGTCTGGTTCTTAGAGGTTTTGCCCGTTCTCGTGGCCCTTGGAGTTACAGCCGTCTGTCTCTGCTCCTCGTCCTTGTCCTCGCTTGGCAGCCTCCCCTAGACGCCTGTCACTCCCGGGGTTGCGGCCCGTGGCTGGGCTCAGTGTGGTGGCGCAGGCCCCCGTGCCCACGTGCCTGGCCGCCCCCGGCTCCTGGGCCGTGTTGCTGGTTCCAATTCAACTGCCCCCATCTCCGTTGTGCCTCCCAGGCCGAGAGCCGCTTTCTCTTTTCTCATGTGTAACCTTGGGACACAGGTGGCTGCCATTCCCCAGCCTGGCAGC